TCTATCTAAAGACTATTAAAAAGCTACTTTAGTATCTAAAGAGTATTAAAAACCTTACTATAACTTACTTACTAAATAAGCTCCTAGAAAGCTATTATAATAGTAATTTTATAGAGAATAAAACTACTAGTAAATCTACTTATAGATATCTCTTTAAGCTAGCTAGAGGCCTTATTAGTTAGAAAGCTAAGAAAGTAATTACTATAGCTCTATCTACTATAGAGGCTAAAGCAGATAGTCTTATAGAGGCTCTCAGAGAGCTATAGTAGCTAAAAGAGCTCTATAAGGAGCTGAACTAGCCTCTAAAAACCCCTATAACTATCTACTATAATAACCAGAACTATATAGCTATAAATAATAATCTTACCCTATATACTAGAACTAAGTATATACTACTGAAATTCTATTATAATAGGGTTTAAATTATAGAGAGTTTAGTAAGCTTTAGCTATCTGGAAACTAAAGCTATATCTACTAATAGACTAACTAAGCTACTAACTATACTTTTTTAGTAGGTCTTTAGAGATCTACTAGGCTTAAAGAAGTACTATAAGGATCTAACTTAGTTATTTTCTTTAGAAGGGGTATTAAGATTTACTCTATAGACTATAGGGTAGATTAGATTATTTTATATTAGTTAATTAAATAATCTTAGATTAGTATAGAATAAAAAGAAATAAAATAACTAATTTAGAGCTTTCTAAAGCTAGAAGCCTGCTAAAGCTATTAGTATAATCTATTATAGCTACCTATTAGAGTAATTATATTAGTAGTTATAACTACTATAATAGCTATTATAATAATTATATTAGTAATCTTATATTATACTATAATAGCTATATTAATAATCCTTATATTTACTATAGTAGCTATATTAGTAGTTCTTATATCTACTATAGTATTTATATTAGTAGATCTTATATTTACTATATAAAAATCTTAGTATTTAATTAGTAAACCTTATAATTACTATAGTAGCTATATTAGTAGACTTTATATCTACTATAGTATTTATATTAGTAGTTCTTATATCTACTATATAAGAACCTTATAGTAATTATAAGCCTATATTATAGAAGGTAATATATTATCTTCAGAGCTCTTAGAACTTTAAAATACCTATAAGTATAGGGCTTCCTCCTTACTAGATAGAGGTTCTTTAAGCTATTAATTTACTCTTTTATTTACCCTATAGTCTATTCTTTTAGTTACCCTGTAGTTAATAAAGCCTCTCTTTCTTACTTAGTAGGCTACTTCTTTTATTATATCTTTTAAAATAATCCCTTTAGTATTCCTCAGCCTACCCTATAGGCTGTATCTACCCTAGACCTAGCTTACCCTATAGCTAGTCTACCCTATACTGGAGGCCTTGACCTTTTAAAAATAAAAGCCTCTATAGATTATCTATTTTAATTATTCTATATAATAATAGAATACTTCTTATTAAGAAGTTATTATAAAAGCTTAATTAATTATTAACTAAGTTCTATAATACTATAATAAGTCTATATAGCTAAGATTAATTATCTAGCTACTATTCTATTATACTATATTATTATTAATATTTCTTCTAATAAATTATTTTAATATAAATAGAGTTTTTATACTCTAAAGAATAAATAGTTTAAATTAATTAAATTTATATTATACTTAGATAAAGTTTTATTTTACTCTATTTAAATTCTAATTTACTATATTAAAATAATACTTATTAATCTAATAATAAGTCTTATAATATAATATATTATTTCTACTTATAAAGCTCTATCTTATTACTAGATATTCTCTATTATTACTACTAATAGAATATCTAGTTTTCTTTCTTTATATATAAATTAATAAGTTTATAACTCTATCTTAGTAAATAACTATAAATAAAGTATATATTCTTTTAATATACTATATTCTAAATTTATTATATTATAATCTTTTATATTTTATATTATATTATTCTATAATATTATAGAAATTAGAAATTAAGAAGATTTATAATATATATATAATTTTATTATATTTTTAGAGTTTTTTATTTTAAGTTTTACTATAGTTTATAATTATTAATACTTTTTCTAAGTATTTTATAATATTACTCTATATTATACTAAATTAAAATAGAGTTTTAATATATCTCTATATAGTAATAAAATATAGTAGATCTATAAGATTAATAGCTATCTTAATATAATAGGGTTTTATTAATAGGGTATAATAGATAAGATAGTAGATAAACTAATAATAGCTTTCTTTACTAGAGAAATAGTAGATCTAGATTAGCTAATTATATATCTACCTTTCTGATTTTAAGTTAGCTAGTAAATAATAGGGTTAATAGATAATAACATAATAGCTTTTCATGCTCTGCATAGTGCTAGATAAGGATTATAGTACCCGTCGACTAGTCAGGATTAAAGCTTTATATTTGATTGGCATTGAGGGAGCATCAAAGGCCTTTGTGTACCCATGAGTATCCTGTAAAATACTATTGTAAGCTTCATAATGTTAGGATTATCCAAAGTTGGGCTCTCTCCTCATATCTGTCGTCGGAGTGTCAAAGTACATCCTCGGATTGCTTTTCAATTCATCAATCTGTTCTGGCGGTAGCACGACCACTGAACACCATGCGGACATGGGCTTATATGGATTCTGTTTATATAGCTCTCTGCCTTTGGCGAACAGCAGCTTGCTATTCTGGACAAATTCATGTACGTGTCGGTGGTTGGTTAGTTCATATCGCCTTCGGGGGTTCAACTCGGCTGTCCGAGCGTAATATCTTGGGTGAGCCTAGTGTCACAACTCGTATTTTCGGTGTCTCTCAAAGCAACATCCACCCGTCTAAACGTATATCCGTATTGTATTCCAAGACAGCGTGAGTTTTGTTTCAAACTGCAGCCCGGACGACGATAGATAAAGTTGCATGGCGAAGGATACCCATATCGTTTCAAAAAGGTTGTTAAGCGGTTTCTAGCTGGATGGTTATCGGCTCCTATCCTGGACGTCGCCATCCTTTTAGTACCTTCCCAACTAGATACTAAGCTCTCTTATCTGTTGTAGTATTCTCCTTCTTCCCTATCCGGCTCACTGTGCACTTGGTGTTGTTCGATCGAGGTTGGATTGTAACATTAAGAAAATCAAAGTAGATGCTTCGGTTGATAAGACGCGAGAATTTGTCAGATAATGCGCTATAGTGTGTGTGTTCTTCGTGGCTGACGCCTGCATTCCCAAGCTATGCGCCGGAGATATGCAAATGGCGGGAAGTCACTTTCCTAGTTTTTAGTTTTTACTAGGGTCTATAGAGATAAAGGTACATGCTTCGTTTCTGACCGTCAGTCAACATAAAACCCGAAAGTGGAGCTTGAGAGAGATCATATGAGCATTCTGTGTCTAACTGGCTTGACTGGCTAGTTGGGGTGACATACCATACCTCCACCTAGCTCTTCGGCATCCGGCTATCGTGTCATGTAATGATTCATAAAGCGTCGACAAGTGGAGTCAAGCCCGGCTTTCCGGGACTGCAGTGAAAACCCGGAACTCCGCCGCGTATCCTCCCACACGAACTTCGGCCTCGGCATCAATTTGGAGATACACTTCCCGCTCCTCGTTCCAATCTCATGCTATACGGCTTCCTTTCCTTCCCTAACCCCCAATCAACTAAGAGTCAACGGGAAATCGGCACTTCCATCGGCACTCCATCCCTCAATAGCGGCCACGGCGCTGTGGTAGACCCCAGCTCGAGACCCAGGTTTCCATTTTTGAACGGCCATGATGCCCCCTACAGACGCGACAGATAACGCTGGCGCTGGTGATTCGCTCTCTACATCCAATACTAGGAACAAAGCTGTGAGTTTGACCTACTACAATGGGTCGTTAGTTCCTATCACTCACATCTAACTTTGTCGACCGAAGTGTGACCCCTGTGCTCGACGCAAGGTGAGGGAGTTGCTCCTCTCGTTGATGTCCGGTATGCCTGCTGATGATTGAGAACCAGATACGCTGTAACCGGCGAGCTCCCTGCGCCAATTGTTTACGCGTTGGAGATGATTGTACATTCTCGCCTCGCCAAGCAAGACCCAAGCGTCCTCGCCCAACAATTACCAATCAAGTGCAAGTTGCCCTGCAAAATGCTCCATTCCGGGGGTATACTGCTAACAGGAGCATCGGTTGACAGCGTCGGAAAAATCACCTCCATTGACCAACGTCTTCACCAATTGGACCAGCTGATCCAGACAATGGCAGGGAGTTCAGTTTCCCAGCCTCAAACAGAAGCTTCAGAGTCACCAGCTTCAAACGTGCCCTCGCGAAGCTCTGACCAGCTGGTGTATCAAAACGACTTGGATGAGAGAAGCCCGGCATCCGCTCCATCCCGCACTGGTGATGACTCTGCTGTCGCTCAAGAAGCACATCAATCCGCTCCTGTTGGAGGTATCAATGGCGTGAGAAATGGCCGACAAAACACTGGCCAAAACACCAGCTTGGTCGACTCTGAGGGCCATTCATCGTTGTCCGCCCATTCATCATTCGCAGTTGATTTCATGAACAAGGTCGTCATCTCAGACCAGGGGGGCAATATGAGTAGTGATGCCCATGGTCTTTTGGAATCATTGAGCCATATGGTGGAAACTGTGCAAAAACAGCACCGTTCCCCGGGCAATTGTCTCCCCTCCGGGAGCGTGTTTACAGCTTCACCAAAAGAAAAGCCTGGGATGCCCCCCCTTGAGGTCGCCGTAGAGGTAATTGGAAAAGCTAAAGGTAGGCCAAGGCACATTTCCAAATCCCAAGACTTGTGATGAAGGCTCACTGACGGAACGCATGCGACTATAAGCGCAAAACAGTTTATTGCACACATTCTTCTGCACACTCTTGCCTTCTCCCAGCCTCATAGATTTGTGTATGAATGTCTATTTTTCTCCGACACATGACGAGGCGGACTTCATGATTGTCAATTTTATGCTGCTCTGTGGGTAGATTGTTTGGTGATTTTGATGCTGGTCGTGTTAATGACGATGCATGCAGGTCTTCTCAACGAAAGAAGCGAGTCATGGCCAGGCATTGACGGCCAAGACGACTTAGCTACAGACTACCCTTTGTTATGCGCGAAGAATATTGAATCTTCATTGGCAGCGCTTCCCCTGTTTGTTCAACGATCTCACAGGATGGTACTGGCACTAACATTGACTGTGAGCTTCCCCATCCCTCATTAGCACTATATTTTATGTATGATACTTATCAGTTGGTACCAGGCTATCTATTCTATGGAAATATCAAAGCCTTCTTTAGCATGGACCTTGATTGTCTGGGCACAACAGACATCTCATCACCTTGGGTTCCATCAGAGACAAACCGGCACTGATACAGCCCTAGGCGCCCCGAACCATTTCGGCCTCTTGTTCTGGGTAATTTACTTTTTCGAAAAGATTCTAAGTCTCCGTCTAGGACGTACTTCCACAATACCAGATGTGGACATTAGTATCCCCTTGCCTGGCGGAGAGGGAGTGCTCCAAACTCCAGGAATGCGTTACTGCCAGCTACAAGTAAAAGTAGCTCGACTTGCCGGGCGGATCTACACGGAGCTTTATTCTCATCAAGCCCTCCTCTTCGATCAAGAAACGAAGCGTCGAAAAGTGAGTGAGCTCTCCCAAGAGGCCAAGAGCATACAACAGGAAGCAATAGCGAGCAATGTAAGCAACTCCGGGCTCCAACTTGGTCAACAGGATACACATCTAACTCGATCCGAAGCATCTTCTCCAAAATTTGTCCAATCGCCAGAACAAATGGGCAGATTTCCTGGATTTCATTTCCGCTTCAGATGAGGTTCTCTACCTTTCAATATTAACATTGATACACCGTGCATCTCCACCAACACATGAATCTGAACAATCCTTTACCGAAGAATGTCTCTTACATGCCCGAGCAGCATTGTCACGTCACAATGAAGTCGACATCAGCCAGGCGCCACTTCTATTGACTTACATGAACTGGTGAGTTCCATATGAGGAATAACATGGATGGCACTAATTTTGGACCTGACAGGACTTTGATCTTTCTGCCTTTCATTCCCTTTTTTGTCTTGTTCTGTCACGCAATACAGAAACGAGACAAGAATGACTTGGCATGCTTAAAAGCGTTTGTGGACTCAATCAGCCCAGCATCGAAACACTCGAGGTTTGCAAGCCACCATCGTCTTTTCAAAGCCTTTTATGACGCAGCGGAAGGCTACCTTGAGCCAAAGGATCCTATGGGGCCCACGCAACAACAGGACAGTGAGCTTGAACAACAGATAGAAACGTGTTTCTCCACAGTCGGGATCCAAGCGAGTAGCCACGCCGACCAAGACCTGCAGGTCGCGGGCATTGGTAGCCCGGGCCAGATATTCCCTACGAGCTTACCGAATGGGGCGGCTTTACAGGGTGCCGGTGATGGATTTGTAGACGGGTGGGCTGATGAATGGGCTCCCAATCTCAACTGGTTTGCCATGAATCAACAGATGATGGACTGGATCCCCCAATCACATCATTAATGTAGTTTCACTACATCCATCATTTAGAGTATCACATCCAGAAAATAAGCTGTAGGCTGTTTTTATACAGGTCATGCTTTAATACTATCAATTGAAAATCTTTATTTAGAGTCTTTCTATCATAGATGGAGTTTACCTTCACTCATACACGTCGTCCTCCGTATCTTCAGGCATGAAGACGATCGTATACGTTAACCCATAGTAGGAGGGCCGGAATATGTTGTGCGGCCTCGCCAAAAATACCAGAAGGCTGACACCCCAGTCGCAAGCAAGAAAACCGCAGGTGCATAATTGACTGTTTGAGGGGTCGCCGGAACAGCAGATGGCATACAGAAAAGTGGAAGTGCAAGGGCAGACCAAGCTTTTCAACAACATAATAAGAAAAGGTTAGAGACGATACTGGAGTAAATGGGAAGTCCTTTTAGACATACCGAGGGCGACGATATTAGCAAAGACCCCAAAGCGTCCAAGGCTGAATTTAGCATTCTCCACAGCCTTGCGGCCAGTGAACAAGCTGATAGCAATGGGGCTCGCATATGCCGCAGTCAGTGTAATAACACCCACACCGGAAAAGGCATTAAACGCCTGCGTCGACCCAAACCAGATGAGTCCGAGCACGATCTGCACCGCTGTACAAAGAAGTATTGCGTTTAGAGGAACGCCAAGCCCGGGATGGACTTGCATCCACAGCCGAGATCCCGGGATTGCTCCATCTCTAGCACAGGCCCACGTGCAGCGGCTGGCAGCGGTGGTGCAACCAATACCGCAGATAACCCCAAGTACAAGGAGAGGGAGGCAGAGGGCAATGCTAGCGCCAGGCGACCCAACAGCGGCTTTGATTATAACCGGAACGGGCTGTGAAGAGGACAGAAGGTCTTGGATATCCGGAAGTACAAACATGAGCGGGATCATGAAGAGCAAGCCAGCAAATGTGTTGATGCAGACTGTGGCAAGCATGGCCTTAGGTACTTGAGTCGAAGGCTCCTTTACCTCCTCGCACATGGAAATGATCATACCGGTGGATGAGGTGGCGTATGCGGCGTGTAAGAGTCCAACCATGAAAGACCATCCGTCCGGCCACCCAGAATTAGATTCAAAGTGCGTAAACACAAAGTCAGCAGACCGCCGTCCACCCTTTGCCATGATTAGAATCGTGATAATGATTGCGAGGACTCCTGCTAGAGTCCAGAATATTGCAGCAGTCTATGACATTGGATCAGCATTCAAGAATACCTTAGAGATGGCGAGGGGCATGTCATATAGGTAGATCTCACGTCAAGGATATGCAGCCAGCGATTGCCAAGAGACGAAACCGCAGTACAGAGCAAGGTAATTCCGACAAAGACTAAATACAACTGCCAATCTGGAGGAGCGAATATCCCAACACCAGACTCAGTCTCAAAAACGTTGATACAACTCACAAAGAAAAGAGTTGTTCCGAAGTTTACAGATAGAGTAATGGATATAGTCCCAACAGTATAGAACCAGCCGCATACCCAAGCGGCTACACGTCGCCAACGAGAGGGAGCAAGCATAAAAGTCTGATAGTAGACACCTGTCGACATGATGAGGGTAAGTTGGCGCAAATGGACAATGGCAACGGAATATCTGGGCTTTTGGCTTACCACCAGCTGTTGGGTAGACACTGGTTATTTCAGCTAGCGATGCTGCCACGCAGAAGATAATCGCCGACACGGCGAGCCAACCCCATATAACCGCCACAGGGCCGCCTCCAATGATGGGATACGCAAGCATTGTTGCGAGGCCATAAGGAACAGAAGCAAGCACGAAGGACATGAACGCGACATGCAATGTTGAACGCGTCCGTGTCAGCTCGGCCTTGTAACCCATCGCTTCAAGCGCTTGGTCCGCCACGTCTTTTGTAGGGGCCAACATACAGCCACCATCGTCGGTACCTCTGTACCTAGCCTGGCCATTGTTATGGACGTTCGAAGGGTCGCTGCCGGCCGAGATTTTCGGAAGAGAAGTGACAGTCATTGTTCTTTGATCAGTACATGTTAGCATCCGAACCAGTCATGGCCATGAAGAAGTTTTCTGACTTATCAAGCGGAATATGGATGGAGAAGTGAAAAGGGGGAGCGGGAAGAGGAGACAGATAGGAAAAAGGGCCATCAAGTACGGAGACTGAGCTCGCTTGGTATGGCTGGAACTTTATTGGGCTGAGCAGGATCCGAGATTTCACAGGATCCTCGTCAATTTAGGCCATTGGGTCCATAAATTCGAATTCTGCAATTACTCTAGGGCTTCCCTACGGCCCTTTTACACAAACAGGAGTTCCCCCGTTCGTTCTAGGCTTGTTGAGAAGTTGGCCAACAGACCCACCACGGCCTCCGTTGTGCAGACCGAAATCCCGGACTGAGTTCTCGGATGGTGCCTAAGGCTGAGATTAGGTTGTAGAGAAAGAAGAAGTTACAGTAAATCAAAAAATGAATGTGGTCACAATATAGTATCGGACTAGAGGAAGAGAAGGCGACTAAACCTATCAGGAGTTTGCTATTTCACATGGTTATTCATGAAAACTGTTTCCAAATGATATACTTCAAATGGAGCAATACTGGTCGACAATCTCACGGATTGCTCGATCAATATCGTTGCGTCTGAACTTTCCCAGGATTCGCTCATCGTCAGGGTCCATCTCATACTTGACAACCTTGTCCCCAGCGAACAAGGCCGATCGGGGCAACAAAGGATGTTCTTCGTCTTTGGCTTTAACTGTTCCTGCCTCGTGGCCGACTGCCTTGAAAAATTTGTCAAAATATTCAGCGTAGGTGAGGTTCTCGTCCCCGATCAGAATAGTCCGCCCGGCAACCTCGTCGGCGTTCCTCAACGCCCCAGAAATTGCTTCGGACAGCGACTGGGCCGAAATAAAATTGAGCCCACCCAGTGGCGCACAAGGGGGCAGAGCAATCTTGCCCTCTGCATACTGCACATAGGCCTGGAACATGGGAACGTCCATGCCGGGAACAGTCCCAACCACAAAGGGCGGGTCCAGGCTCGTGGCTTTAAACAACGGCTTAGCAAGGCTGGCGACGCCTTCGGAAGCCAGCTTGCGAGATCGGATGTAGGCATTATTCTCGACTTGGTCGGGCAGAATGTGCGGGTAGGCGCTGCCAACGTGGATAAAGTACTCTACGCCGGCGTCACGGGCGAGTGCTGCCATCTTGGGCACGGCTGTTCCGTTTGCTTGCACGAGATATGTTCCTGGGTCGACATCTGCTGGGACATGACGCGCATCGGCGCCAGCGGTGAAGACCACGGCATTGAACCCAGAGAGCTGGTCTTTGGTGAAGTCTCCATGAACATAGTCGCCTTTCATAAAAGACATCGACGAAAGAGCTGGAACAGTGCTGGGGCGGCGGCCTGCAATGGTAACCCTGTGGCCTTCGGACTGCAAGTGAAGGGCGGCGTGGCCGCCTATCATGCCGGTGCCTCCAATCACAAGGATGTTCATGTCGGTAGGAAATGACGCCTTCTTGCATCCAAATTAGCAGGCCATGTTCGGTCTACGTGCAGCTAGAGCATACCGCGGCTTAATAAATAAAGAAAGCATCAAAGGTTTTCGACCGCTACCAGTCCCCACCAGACTCTATTGATTACCAATCGTCTTACAAATGATGATCTGGGAGCCCTATTGTACCAGCATCTCTGTTTGGTTTTTGTTGTTTCTCTACTTGTGAGGACTAATATTGGTTTGCTAAGAAAACACCAAGTTTAAGTCCATTCGTAGCTATGATTATTCTACTATCCAATGTTTATAGTAACTGAATGCAGGTCATGACGGTACATTTTGCTTTGGAATACTACAGCTGCCTGGCCGTCCATGTGAAGAGCACATAAAGGCTGTCCGGGGTTTCGGATATTTGTGTACTTATTTCAAAACCCTGGCCAGGCCGATTTCTACACAGGCAAGGTACATTCGGCATCCGGCGGCCCGGCTAGATTTACGCGGGTGGAGACGTGCGTGGACAGCGAAGTGGATAATTCCATCTAGAATCCATTCACCCTTTTCTTGTGGCGATATCATCGCGCTCTAAAATAGACTTCATCACGGTATCCCTAGAGGCAATCAGGCTAAAATGGACTGCCGACTGTGGCATTCCCTATTCAAATCGAGAACACTCAACCAGCTCTCTACACCCGCATTAGTCACAAGTGCTGCTATCACGGATGTGGTGGCACTGTAGGCTTGAACAGCTTATCACATGCAACCAGTAACCATAATAACAAAGGAAAATTATTCTAGTCTATCTATGATATAATTACAGAATTAAGTTGCTTAGGAGACAGAGGATGAAGGAATGAAAGAAAGTGGGAGGGGAAATGAAAGGTGGGGGAAGGTTAAAATCTCAACCATCAAGATTCTGTGCCTCGCACATCTTCCGGTACATTTCACTTGTCGCTATCAGCTCCTCGTGAGTGCCAGCAGCAGCAATCTTGCCTCCATGGAAGACCAAAATCATATCGGCGTGTCTGACAGTGGACAGTCGATGAGCGACGGCAATGGTGGTCCTGTCTCCGGTAGCCGCAGCCTCGTTCAACGCCTCCTGTACAATCCTCTCTGACTGTGTGTCCAGGGCACTAGTTGCCTCATCAAGTAGAAGAAGCTTGGGATTTCTGATGAGAGCTCGGGCAATTGCGATACGCTGACGCTGCCCGCCTGACATCTGAAGACCATTAGTTCCGCAAGAGGTGTCTAGGCCATCTGGAAGAGAGCAAATGAAGTCCCAAGCATTTGCTGATTTACAAGCAGCAATGATAGTTTCGTCCTTGATTGCTGAGATGTCCCGTGCCGGTATGCCCATTGAGATATTTTGACGTATAGACCCGGGATATAAGGTCGGCTCCTGCTGGACCAGAGCCACGTCTGCACGATACTTCCAAGGATTCATGTCGCATAGTGGTGTACCATCCACCACAATTTGACCCTTAACTGGGTCGTAGTAGCGTTCCAACATAGATATCATCGTACTTTTGCCGCAACCAGATGCGCCCACAAACGCAATGAATTGACCCTTCTTGATCTAATACGGATATTTTTAGAATAAAATGCCATAGTGAGGGGAATCAGATAGGTTTACTCACGTTAACATCAATGCCGCGCAAGACACGGGCATGAGGCCTCATGGGATACGAAAACTGAACGTTGTGGAAGTCAAGAGAATCTATGTTGCTTGGACCAATGTTGCGATTCTCATCTGTGTCAGTAATCAAAGGATTCAGTTGCTCAAGCCAGAAAATATAATTAGCTGCATTCGTTGCTTTGGTCATGCCTGATTTCCTGTCAGTGATCCTGTTCGTTTGCTTTTATAGGTTGGATTGAGGACACATACTGCTTGAGAACCCGAAGAGGATTGAGGCTTGCTGGCCGGAGAAGAAAACTGCCAGGAATGCAGTAAAGAAATTGACCATATTTAGATCACCGAAAGACACCAAACGGCAGCCATACCTGTCGTGAATTCTGTTAGTGAATGGAACCAACCTCTATCAGAGAATGGTGACCAAAATTAAGGAAAGAGGAAGGAGGAAAGGGTAGAACGAACCAGAATCCTAAAGCTTGGAAAAAGTACTCAACACTTTGTGTAAAAGCAAACACGACCATTATAGACATGATTGGCTTGGTCGAGTCTGAGATGGCATGATCCAGTTCTGAAGTGTAGCGCTCCAAGACAGATTCCTCGATTGCTAATGAGGAGACAGTTCGGATTGCATTTACTGCTTCGGATGCAATCGAGGCACTCATAGAGAACCTCTTGGATATTTTGCTGTCCATGGCAGCCTCCATTCTGATACGAGCATAACCGGACAATAGCATAGGCGGAAGGCCTGCAAATATGATGACGAGGCCCAACTTCCATCCGAATGATAGAGCAACTGCACAACAAGAAATAACACCAATGACTGCCGTGAGAATCATAGCAACATTAAAGCCCATGAGCTCAAAAACAGCATGAGGATAGGAATCCGCTCGACTAGTAAGTGCACCTGTAGTGTTCTCTGGGCGGTCAAAGAACTGCAAATCTTGTCGAAGCATATCATGTACAATCTGCCTTCTATATTTTTGGTTGAGGGTCTAATGATTGGGTCAACGTACCGTTCAGTTGAGACTCATTCGTGCGATTGACTTACCTGGGCGACAATGTTGGATGTGAAACCCATGATGAAGTAGACGACGAGGCATCCGCATGCTATAACGAGAAACATCAAGGAGAAGAAGTTGCCCTTCCTCCGCATCTCATCGCCAGTAAACTTAAAGACGTCGATGAATCTTGACATGAGAATTGCTTGGCCGGGATATGACGCCGCTGAGGAAGCAATTAGAAACTAGACGTCACTTGAGTGATCTGGAACCGAATGTACTTACCTGATAGTAGACAGACAATAAATAGAATGAGGTAAACCCATTTCAACTCGGGGGATGAAATGACTAATTTCCATATTGTGTGAAGAAGACCATATGGTTTCCAGTTGTCGTAATCATCCCGACTTGTGTGTGATTTCATACGTTCATTAGTTCCGAGTGAATAGTGAGTTTCCGTCTTGGCCATCTCAAGATTCATATGCTCATCCTCCTCCTCAGTTCCATTGTCCGTAGACTCGGATTCGGCGAGGGCGTTAGCCGCCACGGACAGATCTTGGGCCTTCACAAGTCGGCTATATGCACCATCCGCTCTCAGAAGGTCATGATGTGTGCCTTGTTCGATGATGAGGCCCTTTCCCATGACTACAATGTTGTCAGCGTTGCGGATGGTAGCTAGCTTGTGAGCAATGGTGATAGTAGTGCGGCCCTTAGAAACATTGTTAAGCGCTTCTTGTACAACCTCCTCGGCATGAGGATCAAGGGCGCTGGTAGCTTCATCCAGGAGAAGAATCTTCGGTTGGGACACTACACTGCGAGCTATTGCAACTCGCTGTTTCTGACCTCCAGACAGTAGGCCGCCACGTTCTCCAATAATGGTGTCATAACCGTTGGGGAGGGCCGAAATGAAATCATGCGCAAAGGCAATTTTGGCAGCTTCTGTTACCCTAGCAAGCTTTTCTTCCCTCGACTCATTCTGCCACTCGGTACCGACCAAACCATTCGCAATGTTGTCAAAAACTGTGCCCGCGAACAGAACGGGCTCTTGCTGAACAAGTCTGGCGTGTTTTCGTAGCCACCCCAGGTTTAACTTATCAATAGGCTTGCCATCAAGCAAGATGGTACCAGCATCGGGATTGTACCATCGCTCAATCAAGCCTATAATTGTACTTTTGCCAGACCCGCTAGCTCCAACAAGAGCTGTAACTTTCCCAGCCGGGATGTGTAGAGTGAAATCATCGAGCACCTTAATACCAGGTCGCATAGGATATGAGAAAGAAACCCCTTGTAGGTCAATGTTGCCAACGACCTCCGTGGGCTGCTCTCCACCTTCACTAAAGGGGTCGATGACTGAAGTCCGGTCGATAAGACGGAACAGTTCCGCCGCTGCGGATGCGGCACGACTGAAGTCGATAAGGTATGGAGCAATCGCGGTCAAACTTGTCGAGCCGACAATCACGGACATAAGCACTCTGTGATACAATTAGTGGCTGAACTCTCTGAGTTGCTCGAATACCATTGGAAAGTGGCAACTAACATGAAAACATCGCCAAATTGTTCAACTTCCCCTCGGGCGAGCATGCCGATAGCTTGCCAGAAGCACAAACCCATTCCAGCGAAGATGATGAAATATTCTGCGGAGAACATGCATCCGAAGACAAGATTCTTCTTATCGCCGAGCGCGCGAGCATCTTGAAGATACTTGCCAAACCCATCCATCAACCTTTCACGTAGATCAAAAGCTTGGACAGTTCTGGCGGTTGACATAATGTTCTCAACAAAGGAACCTCCTTGTGCAGTGACATGGAGAATCTTGGTCTCAATGGCAGCCTCGAAAGCAGAGCTTACACCCATGACAATAAGTAGGGCAGGTGCAATGCAGCAACAGATGAGCGTCAGTTTCCATTGCGTGACGAAGGCCAGAACAAAGGCAGCGACAAAAGCAGAAAGCCCCTGGCAGACCATGCCAAGTTTCTCGGAGATGCCTCCCTGTATGAGTTTGCCGTTGGATGTGGCTTGCATTGCGATCGATCCGCTCGTTCCGGCATCGAAATAGGCAATTTCTTGACTTAACGCAGACTTGAGGTAGAGATACCGTATATTTCGAGTAACCCGATATGCGGCTATGGTGAATAAAGTGCTGTAACCGTAGGAAACAATAAGCCGTCCGATGCCAATAATGAAGAAGTAAAGACTGTTCGGAATGTATTAGCAGGGTAATCAAAATCTTTTTCAAATCCTCACGATAACTCACGCGAGCCTGGCGGAATCCTGACGAAACTTGTCGGGGGTTGATTTCCCAGTCACATAATCTGTAATCACTGTGATAAATTGTCCGAAGACCAGATTCACCATGGCCATGCCCACTCCAGATGCCAACGCACAGATTGTTGCCAGAGCTTGCATTCCGAATTCAGCAGAACTACCGTAGCGAAAAACCCTCTAGGGACAATGTCAGAAATAATGACGCCTCACATGGGGGAGCCAAAGTTAAAACTTACAAAGTAGCTGTTGCCAGGATTAGTCTGTTCTGCCGCGTTTCTGCTTCCATCCGCGGTTGCTGGGTCTCCATCCTTCTCTTTCTCTGAATGTGCCATCTTGGTACGATTGGCAGTCAAAGCCGCGTGGTTACTTGTGTTTTTGACGACTCTGATGGTTTGTGAACTGTCGAGGAGGAGGTGCCACTGCGATGTTGTAGAATGAAAGAATGTCGTTTTCGAACCCAATTATAACTATAGAATAATGGAGGACAGCAAGTATTAATATGACGTGAGTGAAAGGGGCCAATTTGCTAGCGACTCGATTTCCCCGGCCGGCAACCGCACAAGGTTCCGAAACTCCATGAGTCGCTTCCCAAATCTGTGAGATTTCTGGGCCGGACATGAACAACCCCGGTCTTGTAAGCAAATTATTCCCTTAATCTAAACAAGTTCCTTGAATAAATCGCCACGTTTTCACGGGATTTTCGGGATTTTCAGTCCGAAATAGACTACATTCTGTAAGACTGTCCCAATTTACCTTAACCCTTGGCATTGGCCGGAAGTGTCATATGCGTCAAATCATGACCAGGGCCTGAGCGTCTGGGCACTCTACCGCAATATTGGTCTTTGTGGTGGTAAAGGGCTGCCCTACCAAGTGTTGATCTATGTTCAATCCATGTACTTGAGGCAGGGTAGTATGCTTGCCCTTAGTCAAGGTCTGAGCAACTGTCATCACCAACAGAACTGACAGGATCACTGGGTCCATCTGGTCTACCTGCAGCCCTACAGTATGGGATCGCAGTTTCGGTGCTAATTTGGCGCCGAATTTCCGCAGGGCGGAACTCTACGTAACTAATCAAGGGCCCATACTGAGAGCTTCCACCTTGATCAGGACGCCGCGGACAGCCGAGGAATTTGACATCACCCTTGCAAATCTCCGATTTTCTTGGCTAGACTTAGCACTAGCTAAAGTGGAGCCATTCAAGACGCACTCAGTCTTGTCAGTCTACTTTGCTAAAGTGCTGCAGTGCTCTTCGGCATGTAATTACCCTATGTCGTACATTCCACGTGCAGGGCTACGAGAACGAACAAAGCTACAGTCATCTAGAAGGCCTCTTATCATAATTTTAGATATTGAATTATTAAAGAGCATTGACGAATGATTACGTTGGGTTGTAGTGTATTGCCCTAGTAATTGAAGATACGTATTACTACTTCAAGCTTTCACAATATCGATGTGGGTAATGATGGCGATGCAGCGAGGAAACCGATTTCGTCACGGAAAATGGAATTCCTCGAATGCGCTTACCCGTCACATCATTTGACAACGATTCATCGCCTCCCCCCCGAGAAAAAACTAGCCTCTAGTCATGCGGTGACTCGAAAAAGGGGTCATTGTCTAGCGATGTCATCATTTGTTGGCTTAGTGGAAACCAAGTCCCCAACTGTAAACTCTGTTCTTTTCCATGATTGAGATTTGCGCTTTCCAAGTCCATGCTCATATCACCAATGGCGGGGCGGATTGTCCCAATAGTCGTCGCCACTGGCGCTGTAGTCGTACTGTTGTGTATTTCAGAGGTGATAGTTGGCTCCCGGTTGGGATGGTAGCCAAGAAAGCTAAAGCAGGCGTCCATTTCGGAAATCAACTCGGTGTTCTGAGCCTGAGAGGGAGTCGTGGTAGCTTTCAGTTCACTGTACCGCATGGAAACTTGGTAGAGTACCTCGAAAAGACGGTGATGATTGGCAATCTGACCACAGCCTAAGTCAAGGGACTCTATAGATCGAACGAAATTACCCATTCGTGTCAGATCTTGTGCATTTCCAGTCTCAATAACATGACAGAATAACACGATGAATGAAATAAAGGGCGAGAAAAGAATCACCCTGGTAAAGTGAGGTTTTGCTACTTAGCCTCCGGAGTCCCATAATATATGGATTGACGACAAAGGAGTGTCTTATACGTACCAATTAAGATATGATGAGAGTAACTGGTTCCCCTTGTTTTCCACATGTGCTATACACAATTGATGCGTGTCTAATGTAGCCCTAGCAGAGTTGACACGCATCAGAAAATGCTGTCGTTGAGCCAGCCGGTGGTGGAACCGCACGATGAACAAGTGTTAGAATCAACAGGTACTGTAATTCATCGGCCAAGTATATGACCTGGGACATTTTATCCCCGTAGATTTCCTCAATATTCTGAAGGAAATGGTCCTATTGAAATAAAATGTAAGTTTTTTTTTTTTTTTTTTTTTTTTGACTTTCTGGGCTTCTTTCTCCCGTTGCGATTTCTGAGTGTCTTTCTTGGGCTGGGGATTGGGGGACGGGTGCATGTTGCTGTTTCAGTATTAAGAGTGTGAATTTGAGCGAGAGGCTCAACGGAACAATGGTCAGGGGATTTATTAGTCTACTTACCTTTATGCTCTCTCGCTCGCGTTTGATGCCCTTCAACTCTTCACACAACTCCAGGGCCTTTGACATCCTCAATTGATCCATATCGTTCAAGGACTGCAGAGAATAAAGGCTGTTGTACACTCTGGCCGAGATATCCGAGAGCTGAATGGTGACTTTGCAATATCTCATGATAGCTGTTGGCGAAGTTTGGCCATCCCCAGGAAGGGGAAGAGATATGTCATATCTCTGTATTATGGAACATCGTCCAAGGCGGAGAGACAAAGACTTCTCAAGGCAGTAACTTACCCAGAAGATCACTCCAGAATCACTGAGTTGAAATTTGCCATCACTTGTTCCACCCTGCCTTGTATGATATCCGAGAGCCTGGGCTGCTTGGTATGCTGCGGTGATTAACAGCCAGGCCTCGTGTGGCTTGGAAGTTTCTACTGAAAACACCGCCTGACAGTTTGGTAAAAGAAGTTGTTAGTAAGAAGGATTCATTTAAATGGGCTCCGAAAGTGCTATGACGAACACCTAGGACCAAGGCAAGAATCATGTCCTTGATTGGCTTGATGTACAACGAAAGAGTTGCCAGCGCGGATTTGGCATTTCCAGCGTACAGATATCGTGCATCGGAAAATTTATCTTGGAGCTTATCTAAGACAGGACATAGAACTACCAAGACTAAGCTTATATTTGTAAAAGAGAGGGCCATCTCGTAGGGAAAGATGGATTGACTCACAGTAAAGAACTGTATTGAAAATAATATACTCAGAAACACTGTAATCATCTGAAAAGTAAATCTTCAAACACATCTCTGATAAGTTACGTGAGCCTAGCAGCAATGAGAATACATCCCAGGTGACGCCCCCTTTATCTGCTGCCATCGGTAAGTTTTGATACGTTACAATGGTCGCATACGCCTCTCCGTATTAATGGGCGTGCGCAAGATATTACTCGGTGACATAGGACTGAATACATACTGTTTGCGTATCTTATAGCTGCGGCAGTGACATCTATTTGTGGCATTTTAGTGCCACTGTCAACTCTCTCATGTCGACGAGAATTCGGGACATGTTCCGTCTCTGAAAATCGGGGTTGCTTCTGAATAACATCTACGATTTGACCAAGACTCTCCAGAATTTCTCTTGTATCAAAGTGAAACCCATTTTCCCGATCTGAATTAGCAGCCCGGTGTAAGAAACCGACGGCGAACGTGGAGTGTGCTGATAATGATGAGGGACCCTCAACAGCGACGGTGCTATCATCTTGGCTGCTGCATGATGGTCCTCTCATGCCATGTGGCTTCTCTTGCGGGTCACTGATAGAGACGGGTGATATTCGGATGTTGTTGCGATCTTGGTCGTTTCGAGGTTCTCGGTGATCTGGGGTATTATGCGAAGAAGCACTGGGTTCTACGGATATCTTCGGTACACCATCTTGATGTACTAGAGAGCCTATAAGGTGCCCCATCTGTGTAATTCTTTGCTGAATACTGTCAATCTTGCCCTCACTTGGTCATCACACCAGATATCAGTTCAGTTTTCTTTCGATGATAAAAACCGAGAAGACTTACTAGTGGGATGATGGCAAAGCCTTTGATCGTCTAGGCCTTTGCAAACGAGGTGATGCTATACAACACAACTTGCTTTTGATGCAGTTGCCACACGGGTTACTTTTATCACAACGAATCTCCAAAAGGTTGGTCAGTATGATATAGACTGGATTAGGCAAATACATACCTTGCGATTTCGACAAGGATTGCACTGGTATGAGTATCAGCCAAAGATTGCCGAGTGTTTGCCTCCAGAAAGGAGTTCATCACGTTTCTGAATTTGACCTACTGCTTTTCTGTGGGACACTGAACGGGTTGTTGTGCTCTGCTGCACAGAGACTCCGCTTTCAGCAAGGCGACTCTCCATCGGAAGCTTGGGCGGTAACTGGTAATTGAATTCGCTGGATTACCGAAAATGAGAGATCATCAAACGCGAAATGCTGTGAGGAACATGACAAATGGCTGGAGCAAAACAGATATGGCTTAAAGTCTCCCAAGGGTTACCGGTGGTACTACCTCGCACTTTCGGGTGCCGCAGGGTTCCGGGCAGGACAGGGTTTAATCAGGGTGAGGTCGACGGGGAGACTTGGCGAGTGTTGGACAGCAGTTCCGCGGAGCCCGACTGTCCGTTCCCTGAGAAGCACCATCATAGCACCACACATGGGTTGGATTGACCAGCTTCAGCGTGACTTTACCATTCCTTATCCAATGGCATGATATCTGGAATCCTGGAAGGAATATTCTAAAATTAGACTATACACGTGACTAATCTCACGAAGGAGTTGAATTTTTACATAAATATTACTACTAGATATCAGCAAACCCATTAGGTACCCAAATAGGTTTTATCTAAATAGTAATATAGGTATTTCTAGGTAATCTATTTCTATTCAAAATAGATATTAGATATAACTAGATATCTAATTAATACTTAATTTTATATTTAGGTAAATATAGATATTTAAATTACTATATTTCTATTTTAAAATAACTTATCTATATCTATATATAAGATAATTAATAATAAGACTTATACTTATATAATTATACTAATTAATTCTAATATTAATTAATAGATATTATTACTATATCTATTAACTAACTATTATAAATTATATTATTATATATTAAAGTTATATAGACTACCCTACTTTTTTCTAACTAATTACTAGTAGATTATCAGAATCTTATAATAATCCTAATAATCCAGAATAATAGATTATTACTAAGCCTTAATAATCCCCTAGTATATATATATATTTACTTTATTAAACAGAATACTCTCTCAGATAGTTATTAATATAATTATCTATATATCTATTATTACTAGCTTTATAATACTTATATATTAATAGTAACTTATATTATACAGCCTAAGATAATCTGATTATACTATTCAGAATAATACTCTAATTAGTTTAACCTTAACCTACCCTAGACCCTATCCAGTATAAGTTATCTAATTATTATATATTAATAACTCTTATTTAGCTAATTACCTTATCTTAATTACTATATAATAATAAAGAAGATATTATAACTACTATAGTTCCTCCAGCTTAGTAGTAGAACCCTATTATTAATAACCTGCCTACTCTAAATAATAATAATACTATAGATAAAGATAGTAGTAATAGTAGTAGCAATAGAAATAATAATACTAAAATCAAGCTTCTATAAGCCTAGATCCTTTAGCTTTAGGAATACCTTATAACTATATAGTAAGAAATAGCTATTACTACTACCCTTATAGGATAATAAGCTGCTCAGAATACTAATCTTTAGACCTAAACTCAGGCTATAGCCTAAAGAAGGGAACTAGAAGTACTACTTAAGCTACTATTATCTAAGATATTTAATAGAACCTAAGATAAGCTTTAAGGCTTTATAATCTAACTTTAAGTATACTTTAACTATTTCCCTATTACCCTTAATAGTAATAAATAGTAAGTTACCTATATCTATTTATAACTTAAGGGGGTTATACTTAATTAGTTTAAACCTATTATAAGGGAATACCTTAATAGTTAAGGAAGCTAATAAACTATTAATATTATAATAAGTTTTAACTACTTTATAGAGACTCTCTAATAGATATTTAGAATCCAGGATAAGAGATATAAGACTGAATATAAAATTAATAAACTTTCTTAAACTAAACCTATCTCTACTTTCAGTAGTAGGTATCTCTAGCTTTTAATAAAAACTAGATAGGACTAGGAGTATACTATATCTTACTACTTTAAGAGATTAAAGGAAGAAGTTCAGAAGGAACTCTATAAGGAAGATAGACTAGTAAGTATTTATAAATATATAACTATAGCTATAAGAATTAATAATTAATAATATTATTAGCAGACTTATAGTAAGAAGATAACCTACTATACTAATACTAGTTAACTATAATAGTAGTAATAACCTATAGTCTCTAGGATATATATAGATCCTATAGAGCTAGAAGCTATAGAAAAATAAAAGTATTATAACTATAATAAGATTAGATATATTTCGCCCTAATACCTAAAGCCTAAGAAGCAGAAGAATTAGAAACCTACTAGAGAAAGTAAGAAATAATTAGGAGTAACTAAGAAAACTAAGATTAAAATACTTAGAATAGTTAGGAAGATTACCTAGGAAGGAAATCAGATAACTGCTATAGTACCTATATTTTCCAGAAAACCCTTACTAAGTTTCTATAAAATACTAGAAGAAAATAAGGAAGAAGAAGAAAGTAAAGAAGAAGAAGGAGAAAAGAAAGAGTAAATAGTATTAAAAAAGAACTAGTAATATATTATAAATATCCTCTAAGAACTTAAGTAGAAGTATAAGGATAGAAGGGATATTATAGACTACAGGCCTCTTACTAAATATAAGTATATATTTTACTATATTAATAAGCTTATTAAATATACCCCTAAGGAATAGGAATAATACTAGTTTACTAGAGATAAAATTAAGGCTGAATATAATAAACTATATACTTACTACTAAAAAAAGATATAGAATCAGAACTCTAATTAAGTAACTGGAATAGTACTTTATAGAAGAAGTACTATAGAAGCTATCTAATACCTTAGTAATAGCTATAATAACCTAATCTGTATAAAGACTAGTAGTATATATAACTATAGATAAGAATTATAGATAACCTGCTATAATATATAGTATAAGATATACTAGAAGGATAAAATAGGAAATAATTTCTTTCTATTTCCTAATAGAAGGATACCCTGAAAATATAAGAAGGTTTAAATATAATACTTTATCTATTAATACTATAGAACAGAACTATATACTATCTTTAAGAAGGATTTAGAAGAATATCCTACTAAATATACCTTTAAAGAAATACTAATAGAAATATACTAAGAATAGAAGTATAAGGTATATAAGAATACTAAAGTTAAATAATAGTATAACTTTAAGTATATAGAGAACCAGGTAATATATAACTGTAATGGATAAATTAAATACTATAATAAATAACTATATAGAAACTACTAGGAAATTAAATAAGAAGCCTTAATATTAGTATAGTATAGTAATAATAATATAAATACTACTAAGCTATATCTTTAATAATAATAGTTATAGGAAGAAAGACTATAAAAATACTGCTTAAAAGAGTAACCTT